GGGACTGGGGGACTTGGGCTGGCTTTGAAGCACTGGGGGGGCTGGGGTCCGAGGGTCAGGCTGAGGTGGGAGAGGGGGGGCCGGGGCTTTGCCCCCCTACCCCAGAGGCAGCCCGGGCTGAGATGGGGCTGGGAAGGGGGAGCCGGGACTCCTGGGGGGGCCGGGGCCCCTTCACTTCTCCTGGTGGACAAGCGAGGAAGTGTCTGGCCAGAAGACGCTCTCCTTGGCAGGGCTCGCACGTTTAAATAATAAATACCACCCTGATCTGCACCGGGGATGCTGCTTTTAATTTTCTGTCTACATCCCCATGGCGTGCTAATGAGACAAAAAGATTTTTTAAAAAAACTGTAATAATAACAACAATATTTCTGTGCTTTAAAACAAGGCCTTTTCCTTCCCTAGCAATATTTGAAAGTGTTCCCCCTGGATTTTCTCTCCCGTGGCATTTGGTAGGGAGAGGGCGATGGCTCGGGAGCACCTGCCCGAGCGGGCGTGGGGTCGGAGCCGGGGTAGGGTGGCCTTGTGAGGGGCTCATCACTCCCACACCCGCTACGTGAAACATAACGTGCCTGGAAATCGCTCAGAAGGTGGAAGAGTTTGGAAATGGTTTCACGCAGCGCGTTTCCAGAATGTCGCCTTGTTCTTGCGTTTCCTGATTGCTAGCCGTGTTATCATGGCCGTTTACCCGGGAAAAATTACTAGAAGTGGTTAAATGAGCTGGCGTTAAAGGGACTGGTGATAAAGATGAAGCTTTGCTTCGAAAATGTAATAGGGATGCAGATTAGAGTTGACTAAAGCGCTCTTGCGTGGGGGAAGCAGCCTGGGGTTGCAGAGGAACCCTTTGCAGGAGGCCTGCTTGTGCGGGTCGCGATGGTCGGACCGAGTAGAAATGGCAGGAAAATGGGGTGTCTTCTGTTTTCGTGACTTGGCGTAGGACTCAAAGGCTTTCTAGGTGTGGATCACGGTGATTCTGATTCACAGGGGCTGCGGGGTAAGGAGGAGGAGCTTTCGGAGAAAGTGATTATAATTTAACTGAGCGTTAGATTAAGTTGGTATTATAGTTACTCTTTAAAGAAGGGACACGAGAGCTCTTACGTTATCGTACTCGCATTGCAGTTTTCATTTGAAACGTCTGAGCCTTCTCCTACCTTAGAGCAATTCAAAGGATGCGGTCGCAGTTCATTAGAATAAGGGAAAGATCTAAACTAAATATTCAAGTATTTAGAATATTATTACAATAAGAATACTTACACGTGATAAAAGGATAGAAAAAGGATTAGACCAATCTTTTGTGTTCATATACATGTATTTATTCATGTCATATGTTTGGGTCCTGTGTTTGATTGCTGACAGGGAGGTATAGATCTGACCAATTTACTGATGCATCAGGAGTACGTATTGCCCCTTGCACCCTTCCGCTGTGGGTGTTTTCACATGCAGTATACGAGGCGTACTTTTTAAAATATGCCGAAGACATATACTCCCTTATTTACCGGTAAATTAATTTGAAACTCAGTTGAAATAATTTTGGCCAGTTTAAAAAATTTATTTCATTTTTCAAATATAACTTGCATGCAGCTGCCCAGTGCTTCCAAAGAAGCTGCCTGTATCATACAGCGGAACACTTGGCTGTGGTATAACAGAATGGGAATTATCTCTGAAAAGGAAAAAAAAGATAGATTTGGGCTATAGAAATCTCAGCTAAACAGTAACTTGAAAGTAAAATAGCTCACAGACAACACACTTTTTGAAATTTTATTGGCAATAAATAATACGTTGATGATAATGTTTTGAGTGGTGTGTTAAGTGTGTCATAATTCTCTCGCAGAGATCTCTAGTTAAAAAGTACTCTGGGTATAGCACTGTTTTAATTTAAAAAAACAGATATAAATCATATGCAGGAGAGGAAGTATGTTATAAACAGTGCTGGGTTTGATTATAATTTTTTGAAATAATGTTGGCTTAGTATTAGATTTGAATTTTAAGTATTAATATTTACACACACTGGGGAGGGAGTCCGTGTTGAGTGTACTAACTAATAAGACTGTTAATACAAACTGGTTTTGTGGGGAAGAGTATTAGACATGTACCTATTAATATAGCTCTAACTATCTAGTGATATTCCAGCACAAAAGAAATAGATATTGTGCACTCGGGTCCAAATCATATTCACTTCTTAATCTTAATAGCCAGCGGTACTTTATTTGAGTAGACTCGTCAGAATTTGGCCCTCTGTTTGTGTGTCTGCCTGGGAGTTTTTACTGAAAGTCATAAAGACCCCAAATGCCACGTTAGATGTTACAAGTGGCTTCTGAGTGGTGCTGATAGTAGCAAAGAGCCTTAGTGGACCTAAAGGCAGGGGAAGAAAAAGGGACGCGAAGTCTAAAACCTCTCCCCAGTAGCACCACAGTAGTTAAGGGTCTGTCAGCATTTCCACTCCAAACCCCAATTTTCAGAGTTTATAACTCAGCTGTTTTAAATAGCTTCAAGCTGAAACCTGCTGTATAAATTGTCAGCCCAGATGTATATTTTGAAACAAAAAGTAGTGCAAATCAGTTATTCTGTTTTAAGTTACAGAACATTAAAATATTTTTAATAGTATCAGATGCTCTTTTGGCAATCTCTGGAAAAGGCGTTCTCAATACGGAAGATTTTACATTCGGAGGCTGTTTGAATCCAGTGTTTCGCAAGAAAAGTTGTTGAAGTGGTAGATATCAATGTTTGAGAGGAACTGTTTAGCATGTACACTAGCCTTTTTTCGAAACAAGCATTTTACTCTGCAGAAAGTCTTAGTACCTGCTGTGGTATAGTAGTTTTACTTCGTGCTTATAACTTCCATCTTTAGGGTACATACTTTGGCCAGTTCAAATCCCACTGGACCGAAACTGGGCAAACAGGTTGCCTAACCAGATGAGAATTGTGTTATGCAAAAAAAACATAGTTATTTTCAACTTGTAAGAATTGGTTTGGTTTCATCTGACTTCATGTACCTTTTTGAGCTTTAGTTAAAAAAAAAAGCAAAAGCAAAACCTACCTTTAATCACCAAAATATGTAGGTAGTTTAATATGGAAAATAAAGATTTTGAAATAGCGGAGAGATTTATGTTTGAAGAATAGGTAAGGAATGTGCACTGTGGCTACTTTTAATCTTTAATTTTTTACGCAGTCCTTATTCATTTCACAGTGCACTTACAATCCTCTTTCTAAGGATATGTAAATAATTTTGGATTGATACATGGCATGAAATTACCAAGCCAAGGTTTATGTCAGCAGTCTTTCAGTATGTAAAGTTACTTTTTAAAATTCTCAAAATGATGTGCATTTCTCCAGGTTTCAAACTTGTTTTGCAAAGCTTTTTCCTAACCTATTACGTGCTATTACATATGTGTGCAATAGTCTTCTGGAATTTCATGGCAAAAAAGTATGAAATTATGAAAAGAACAAGCATTTTACTCCTGTTGCATAGCAGGGGAGCTTCCCATGCAATAGGACTTTCTTTTATTAGCCAAAGTTTTTATTTTCACCTCTGATTTCAGTTTGTCTTTTCCTTCGGTCTTCTCCTAATGAGATGACGAGCGATATTGCATCATACCGCATCAAAAAGCCGGTGCATTTTAGTAATGATGCAGTTCTTGATGAGGCGCGATCAGCCCAGTGACTCTGGCAGCGGCACGTGCAGTTCCAGGCTGATGTCTAAGCTGACAAATTGAACTGACATCGTCGAGTGGAAAGCGTAGGGAGGAAACCTCTGAAAAGCAACAGGGGACAGGGGGACCTTTTAAGAGGTTTTGCTCCCTCGTGCCCAGGTGTTGCAAGCTGTACCCGCATTCGGGAGACGGGTTGAGACGGAGTCGTGATGCTGCTGCCTGCTCCGTGCTCTGGTTACCCAGAGAGGAGGAGGTGAGCTGAGGCTGCAGTCATTTCGCCCCCTCTTCCGAGGCCCCTGGCAGCCTCGCACTTCCTCCTGTGCTCTCGGCTTCTTTGCATTTCTAGAGTTAATGTGATTTTTTTTTTTTTTTTTTTTTTTTTTTTTTGTTCGTAAGATATAAAAAGCATAGGTTGCAACTCCCCTGGATGCTAATGTGCACGACAAGACTGTCCAGAGATAACGTGGTCTATCGCAAACTGGGGAGGGAGTGTTTGATAAGTAGTCTCAAGCCCCATGCTTTAGAGCTTAAGCCAATATCCATTTATTAATGGCTCTATAATCCGTTCAGCAGATTATTATTTGATTATTAGTTATTATTCCTTACACCTCACTTTGAAGCCGTCAGACCTGGTTGCTGTCAGACCCAAGGCAGCGAGCTAGTGGGACCTCAGCTCTTATCCGTAACAGTGGTTCCTGTGTTTTTATGTTCAGGGACGTTCATATCACTTTAAAGTAAAATCTTTGCTTGATAGACGGAGACCTCACAGTATTTTGTGGCAAAACTCAGTTTACAGTTTTGGGTGGTATTACCTGGTGTTTTAGGGAAAAACAGAAAAGCACCAGGGTAGATCCTTTTTATATGGCATTTCAGCTGTGCTTTCTTCTTTCTCTTCAATATTTCTTTTAAATAAGACGGGTTATAATTTTCAGTAATATAACCTATTTTAAATATTTTCAGATTTTGTATACCTTTGTCATTAATTTTTATTGTTTTAAAGAAGCATTGTACAGTGCACTGGGCCACATAATGCTCTCCCTATGCATTCAGAACTCCTCATTTTTTCTACCTAGTTAATATTAAAGTGCAACCTGCAATTATTAGTTTCAGACAGGATCATTTATGGGAAAGACATTTCAAGCAGGGCTTATGACAAAATGTAATACATATTTCAGGAGACAGAATAAATTACTCTGAATAATATAAAAAGTCGTATCTGACCATGTAAACTGGCAGAAACTGCAAGGGGACAGACTTTGCATCTCAATATTTTTTTTTTCAAGTTAGAGCTCAGCCATGCAATATTTGTGAATCTCTTTTTGTTATAAATTTATTTCCAGCATCAGTATTAGCTAACTGGGCAAAAGGAAATTATTTTGTTGATACTTTTGCAGACTTTTTTTACCCCGTGTGAAGAAACATGTATATTTTCTTCCCAGTAACTTAGTATTCCTGTTTAACTTTATTTTTACTTTAAAAAGTCACGGTGCAGTAACACTGTAGATATCCCTGGTGTTTTCAAATGAGAAGACAGGAGCTGTCTACTCCGTGGCCTTTATCTGATCAGATGTTGGAGCACTGCACCACCACTGAAGCATAAAAGTGAGACTATCAGCTAGTTGAAACCTAAGGAGAAATACTTTAATATCTTCTGTTCACCCGTCTTGGAATTTGAGGGAGGTATCAGCGCTAACCACATGCAACTCTTGCAAGCGCTATGAAAATTTACATGCCTGCGAGGAAATACAGCCTTTGTTTTATATTGCATCTGAAGAGTTTGAATTCCAGCCATGAAGTGCTCCATCACAGCAGTGTGTTGGGTGGAGAGCTTTGTCTGCGAATGCCCCCAGTGCCACTCCTGGGATGGGTAGATGGGGATTTCTCTCTAGTTTGAAGCCTGAGGAGCTCCGGGGTCAGAGCGATGGGTACAACCAGCAGAGAAGTAGAACCGAATCTGGGTGATATGGCTGCTAATAAGAACTTCTAACTTTCCATTTCAAATGCGCTCCCGCGTATAATTTATGGCTACGAGCCATGCCTCATGTTTTCTCGCTGCTCACTGGTTGCTAAGAACAAAGTTGGCCTTCAGGAAGCATTAAACCATACACTCTACATAAGGATGTTGAATGTTTCTGAAGAAATGTAACAAAGAAGCAGCTCCCTATTAGGCTATGAGCAAGGGAGACAATACAAGATGTTTCTTTGTTTGATGTGGCACTTTGTTCTGTGTTCAGCTAATACATGACTCCTCACCACAGCGGGCTGGAGAAGCTGCCACAGAGCTTCGTAATGAGCATGGCAGCCTGCAAAGCTGGGATGGAGACACGCGTTTTCAAAGTGTTGCTTCACGAGTTGCGGTTGTCTTCTCCTTTTCACAGGTGGTGGCCTTAGGAGAAGTGCCTGATGGGACGGTGGTCACCGTCATGGCTGGAAACGACGAGAACTACTCTGCAGAGCTGCGAAACGCTTCTGCCGTGATGAAGAACCAGGTGGCCAGATTTAATGACTTACGATTTGTGGGCAGAAGTGGAAGAGGTAGGCCGCTGCATTTTACGTGTCCATAATGAAGTAAGAACAACGTCTAGATGCCAGACTTACTTTGCAATGAAATACTGATTAATCTGTAAATAAATCGTCGTCGGCCTTTCGTTTGGAGGGACGAATGCATGTTTTATTTGCAAACTCCAGCATTTGTGGAAACCAAGTTAAGAGTTTCTCTTAAGTTTTTCTGACTCCTCACGTCTCTGTAGGTTTTCATGAGACACAGATTTTGAAAAATGATTCACAGAATACCTGCTTCCCTATTTTAATCACACAGTAAAGGTAGAAGGAAATGGGGGTGTGGGTGATCTGTTATGTGTAGTCAGAGCGTGTCTCTCTCAGGCCACAGCAATGAAAGATGGAGAATTCCTTTTAGCAGTAGAACTGCTTCTGAAGTTGTTGTAGAAGACCTGTAATTAAGGCGATTTTGCATATCACATGTGCTATAGGTTATATTCTTTAAGGGCTTACATCTTTAAGGGCTTACAGCTATTGGTGGAAAGCTTTCTAGTGACTTCCCTGCCCTTTACAATCAAAGTGCATATGACCTACAAAAATAAGCTGTACTTTTCTTTTTAGTAAACTGGTTGACTTTTTATGAATTGGTGGTAAGCTTGGGCTTGAACTAAATTTAACCTTTACTTTAAATGACAGGGTAACTTTCAATTTTTTTTTTTAAGGTGTAGAGCGCTGTCATTGTCTTCCAGCTGTGTAGGAGCTTCCTATAATCTAGAAACTGCACTCATAGAAAGCCTCTGTAATCATTGCAAGTTTGCAAGAATTCCTCTTTAAGAGTCTGATAGCTGCTTTCAGATTTGAGGTAATGTTTGAAAGGATAGCTTGACGGAAGGTGGCACTTCAGTTTTTGCTGCAGGAATCTGCAGAGGGGTTTGTTGTGTCAGTTGTTGATTCAACTTACATATTTTTTCCTTTATGTATTTGAAGTAATTATTCATTTTTTAAACTAGCCCTGCATGGGGCAAAACAAAGCAATAGAAGCTGAACAGCTGTGTTGGGAAATTAGCAATAAAGCTAATTTTACAGTAATATTCTTTAGAAAGCAGTTGTAATTCACCTTAAAGAAGGAAAGAGTATTTGTCCAAAAAAAAATTAAACATATGACAGAGGCCTAGATAGTCTAAATCAGTCGGCACACTTTTACAATTACAAGTGCTTTGTGAAAGTGATTCCATAAGCGTGGCTTACAATGGCTATCTTTTATTTTAGTGACCTGGCCAACAATTCTCTTCATCATTTTAAAACTTGAAAAGTATTGATAGTAAAGAGTAACTTGAAATACAGAGTAACTATTGCAAAAGTAATGCAATATAAATATGGAGTTTTTTGCCCTTTTGGATAAGGTGTTACCTATCTCTTCCATTTGTCTTGCTTTCTTTAAAAAAACCAGTCTGCTTTGTTATTCTGCTGATGGATTAGGTTTGAAAGTTCTCTGGCTCCATCACTACTGCTGCCTTACAGTTAAAGTTCAGTAGTGTATCAGTCTTTCAGTAGTGCTGAAGAAGAACTGAAATGTGATGTACTACCTCTGATCTGTGAATTTAATTTGAAACCTATGATATATACCTTTTATTAAAGCATAGGAAATGAAATAGAGGGCCTAAAGCCTCAGTGGATACGGCTACAGACACATACGCACACAAACCTCCTAAAATTTGGTTCCAGGAGTTTAATTTATATTTGTATCTAGCAGACTTGGAATAGACTTTTTCTCTGATCAATCTGGGTAGAATCTATGGAAAAGCGATAGTGTACTTTTCAAACCCTCAACATATTTATTTAAGAGACTTCAAAGAAAAACAAAGGGTGTGCACTGTTTTACTATATTGGCTTTCTGAGTTTTGGCTAGTTTCCCAAATAGCAATTTTTATATTTAAAAAAAAAAAAAAAAGGAAGAAAAAAGACAGACTTAACTGCTTGCAGACTTTTCACGCATGGAAGATGAAGAAAGCTTCTTTTGATGAAGTGTAATTATGTCCAAACAGAGCTGACCCCCTCCCCCTATATTTCTTATGATCTTAACGGAAGAAAGTAGGGCTTTTCCTTTGAAGCAGCCGGGACTCGGTGGAGGATCTGAAATGCTGCATTCTGCTGCCAGAGGCAGGATGGAGAAATTGGTCCAGACTTGTCTTCCAGACTTAGAACAGAGAGGGGGAGAGAGAGAGAGAGGGAGAGAAGGAGAAAGAGTTATCATTACTGATAGGTTTTTAGAACTCTGCTTAAAATAGCAGGGGAAGAAAGCAGTAGTTGCAAACAGAAGTGAGAAAGCTCCTTACGTAGACAAATATCGGTAGATGCAGGTCTTGAAGTAGAACAGGAAAAATAAAGTAATAAAGAAATCATTTTTCAGTGGCGAGAAACTAATCCACACCTGTTCCTGATTTTAGATTTACATCTTTCTAAACAGCTCGCTCTTTGATCTCTGTATCTCTAAATTTGATTGTGAAGTCTGAATCATCAACTTACCACTTCACCTCCTCTCCCACGTTTTTTCTTGCTTCCCATGGCTCAATAGAGAAACTTGATTTTTATACATATTAATGTTGCTTGCCTGACAGAAGCTTCACGTTTTTGTTTGTATAATTTCTCTTAAACACCTTTTCTGGATTCATAAGAATAAGTAAACGGGGCGCTTTATGTGAATGCAGAAGTTGTTTGTATGTGGTTTTCAGGCGGTAGCTCACTTTTACAAGCCCGATCCACAGCGCAGAGAAGAAAGAATTCCTGTCTTCAATAAGCAAAGGATCATAACCTTAATTTTGTTGTGTCCTGATACTTTAATCACATTAGCATCTAACTGAAAAAATATGCAACACGCACAAGCTGCCGAGTCTCCTTTCAAGCTAATTTCTGGGGTTTGCCTTGTGCTTCAGCATATGTCCATCTCATCCTCCTCTGTGTCAGCTCGGCTCACGTGTGAATAACAAAGAATGCACAGTTTAGACACACTGAAGCAATAGTGCCAGATGACTGCTTGGCTGGGGAATTTAATAAAAGAGAGCTACAATTAGTCCTTAGCCTCTAAAAGTGGATAGTTGAAATGGCTGAGGGCCATAAAGAAAGGTGATAAAAAGTGCATTAAAGGATTTTGTAGCTGAGGAGGGATATCTGTGAAATATCTGTGGAAGGCATAAGCATCACTGAAACAGGGGCCCTTAAAAATTTATTTCGTTCTTAATCCTGTAATATGTAAATCATCTCTTGAAAGCTCTGGAACCTGAGTGTGCTGGCAGGGCCACGCAGCTCCCCGCGATGAAGTGACGTGGAGTTTACTGAGTGCGAAGGGGCTTCATCGGTGTTACTTCGTTAATGCTTCGGTTTGGTAGAGTCCCAGTTAGGGAACAAAAACAGTTTCCCTTTCAGATTAGGTGCTTACCTGTTCAGCTTAGGCTGTCTGAGAGGTGACAATTTAGAAGTGCTCACAGGCGAGGTTGAGACGTAGCTCTTTATATTGAGGCGTGCGTTTTTTCTGGCCGCTGTATCCTGTTGAGATATATTTAGTGTAGAAAATCATGCAGACGTGATTTTACAGAGTCTTACAAACAGTATATTTTGTTGGGTTAATTTTTAGTTGTGATAGACTTTTATACTGATTTGGCATACGAATAGAACGGTAGCATTGGAGGGCCGAATTCTTCATTCAGAGGTATATGGAAAATCCCTTTAGTATCTTTGTTACCAATAATACTCTACTGATTTTGTATGGGTAACTGTGATCTGAATTTCATCATCACACAATTTCACAGTCAGACCTTTTTGACAGGATAGGCTGGCGCTTAAGGAGGCCTTAAACCTGTCCCTGGCGAATTTATATATATCCAAGCAATAGGCTGAATTCCCACCTGGAGAAGGATAAAAGGCACAGACCCTTTTCAGCCCTAAACAAGCAGGCGTGGAGACACCATGTGCTTCCTTAGGGCTGTTGCTGTATGTCTGAGGGCTGCCCACGCACACGCTGCGCGCTGGCAGGACACACGGTTTACGTCTGGGGACAGCGGATGGGCAGGACTGGACAAAAACTGGACGTCCTACATACACCTAACTCTCCGCCTGTGATGATCCCTCTCAAAAGATGTGAGAAATAATCCATTTCCCAATGAACCTGGGGAAAGCCACCTTCAGCCATGCGTCTCCACTGAGGCAGAATTCAGCCTCCTGGGATTTTTGTGCCTTTGCTGGGGTCCTGACCTCCCCTCTAACCTCCATCTCTCGGAGAGGTGGGCACAGCTGGAGCTACACCTGGAAAATCACTTTACTCTAAGTGACAGTTATATTTCCTGAAAAAAAAAAAATCCATGTCACAGTCTAGTTCGTGAAAAATATAGCCAAGACAGTTTGAAGTTGCACTCCTGATAATAAATGATGCGTGTCTCAGGCAGGTTTGGGGGATATACGACTTGGACCAGAAAGAAAGACCAATTACTAGATTTGACAGCCAAAGCTCTGTTCTGTATTATGCCTTATATATAAGCTGTTCTATATTAGGCTCGAAAAAACTGCATTAAGTTTGCACTGTTACATATCATTTAAGATTTGTGTCTTGATTGAATGCCTTCAGAGTTCAGCAAGAGGAAAAGCCCTAGCAACAAAAATGCACGTATACACACAGGGAGGGGGGGGGAAAAGAGAGTTTTAAGTGTCTGGTAAAGTAGCAGCTTAAATGAGCATGAAGGCCGAAGATTGCTGACTGTTTTATTGAGTCACTGTTGTACGCCCACCTTTTCCTGTCTTGAAACAGTTTTCAGTTTTGACTATCTGACATGACTAACCGTTGCATATCTAACAGATTACAACTGTCAGTGAGTCTCCCGAACGGGGGCCAGCGCCTTGTGAGAATGTGCGCTCAGACGCAGGCAGCTCCCTTTATTTATTTCTTTTTAACGTTTTCATTCAGCTAAAGGCTGCAGATGATCTTGTGCAATCTCTGAGTGAATTCGAACTTTGAAAAATAAAAAAAAATGCAGACTTACGACAGCAGCGTACGTGCACACAGCAGTTTCTCACCCTCACGGGAAAGCTGGGGGCTTTCTTAGTATTTCGTAGATGGAATATACGTAGGGAAAACAAGTGTGTTCCAGTAATAAAGATATCATCATATTACCCCTGGCATATGAAGGACAGGAGACACTGATTCTCTGTTAAAATGACTCCCGGGAGGAAAATATATTCTTTCCTCATCTTATTGTAGTCAAGTCAAACAAATGAAATGATAAAACTGTGTGAAGTAAATAGCATGTGGCCACATTCTGCTCTCTGTCACACAGCTGCAAAACTGGAGTAAATTTTTAAATTGTCTGACTTGCTTTGGATTTACACCACTTTCAATACAGCAAAGAATTTGGCTTGTCCTCAGCAGTGAATCACTTTTGTTCTGTCATTGTATGATGACCCATTATTAAATAAGAAACATTTAGATTGTCAACACATGGACATATTCTTGACATAGAGTAAAACTGAAGGGGAGGAAAACTCCTATGGTCAGTTATGTTTTTAATTTTCACGATTGTGGTAACAACAGGGAATAATTTTAAACGTCTCTGATTCTTTACTGAACATGCATGTGACTGTTTTCATGTTGTAATCACTCATTCCTTGTTGTTTTTTTCCCTTTGTAGGGAAGAGCTTTACTTTGACAATAACTGTCCTGACAAATCCCCCCCAAGTCGCTACATACCACAGAGCTATAAAGGTTACAGTGGATGGGCCAAGGGAGCCAAGAAGTGAGTATTATATTCTTATTTTTGCACTTACGCCTGCTTAATTTTGTTTAACAGAGACCCATAAATGAAATATATATCTTTGTCAAACATATTGGTTCTTGCTCAGCAAAATATGTAAGCGCATGCTTAATTTGGAGTCTATTGGACCACACACATACTTGCATTAAACACACACTTAAGTGCTTGGCTGAATTTGGGCAATCGCGAACCTGATTCTCATTCACATCAAGGTCTTGATACATTATCTGCCAGTGTAAATGAGAACTAAACCCACTATATTTATATATAATCTGATTTAAGCATAATAAATACAATCCTGCAACATGCTGAATTCCCTAAACTCCCATAAGCTTCCAACTAAAGACGTTTAGAACAAAATAGGAGATTGATCTTCCAGGATCAGTCCTAGCACAGAGAGAAAATATATAATATAGTGCCTTTTTGTTTGCCCTTAAATTCTTTTGCCATCAGATAATTAATGCACCTGGTTAATCTCATCATACCTGAAATTGGTTTTCAGCTATGGACTCATCACAGACCCCTGGGGGCCAAAGAAAGATAAAAAACCAGTATATCAACAGCGTGGTCTTTGTTTCTTATTTGTGCACAGAACATACATTTTATTTAAACATATAGTCCAGCAGATTTTCACTCGGCATGTTTACCTCATAGCAATGCACTTCCTAACTTACTAAGAATCCATTTGCAACCATCACTGGCTATATTTTTACGACAATTGTGTTTTATCTTGTTCTAGCAGTTTTATGGGTAGCACTTATTTTTAGATACAGTCAAGTCTGGTTAATCCATCATGATTTATATGGCTGTCTCTCTGTCTAGCACATTTAGCTGGTAACCAGTCTCACATCATATGGGTATCACTGATGAGCCAGTTCCAGAGTTTTTTCTTAATCTAACTAGAACGACTCTTTCTAAATTGATTGGATTAACCAGGTATAGCTGTATTTAAATTACATTTAGAGTTTAAGAATTATTTGATGAATAACCACATTTTAAAAATCTGTATAATGGAGGCATCTCAAATAATTATTTTGCCTTTGATCTGCACATACAAATGAGACCTTTAGGGAGCTTTCATGGAGTTTTGTTTAAAATACCACAAAGACAGAAGAAGCAGAAAGTCGTAGACTTCACGTCAGAATTCACGCAGTTAAGTGTTTTTTGTGCTAATACACGCTGCGGTGTCACGTCCTCTTACACTGAGAGACGGTAACTGAAATGCCTTCTGTAAGAACTGTCCAGGCTGTAGAGTTTCACCTTGAATAACAGATAAGAAAAAGCAAGTAGCTATGGATAAATTTCATTACGTAGATACTTGCGTTGCTACCTGCTCACAGCTGAGGTGTCCGTCTGTCTCAGCGAGGGGATTTTTGTTCTGTCTTCTCTCCCGAGCTGAATCAGTTCCCATTTTTCATTTTCGCCTGCAGCTGGTGCTCCATGCAGCTTACCTGGAGACACTGGGCAAACTGTATTCATGGAGTAAAAACCAGGGAGTAAGTTATATATCATTTAGCCATTCCCGTTTGGAGGCTGCTTCCATGTATGTATTGAGGCATCCGCAAAAGGGGAAATCTCCCAGCAGAGGACACAACCGCTGTGAAAGAGCAGAGTGGTTTGAAAATGATGCGGAGATTAGCGTGGACTACCCTGTGTAGCACGGAAAGGGAATGTGCTTGCATTGGGACTGACCATTCTGGTGATCAGTGGAATAAAAGTGAGGCTGTGTTCATATAACTTAGTAAGATTTCCAAGTTCTGCTGGAGTTTTTTTAGTTGAGAGCTGAAAGGCCTCTGTACGTGATACCTGTCTGCAATTCTCATTGAATAGCTGCACCTAGGAATGCTCAGTAACTTAGTTCGTATAGCCTAGATTGAGTTACTGTGTCTTTCTTCATCTTTTTTTTTTTTTAAAAGAAAGCCAAATTTGAGCTTGAATGTCCATTTGAATTTTAATATTTCCATTAAATACTTAGTGAAGCTCTACTCTGGGGTCAGTTTGGTTCTGCAAGTTCTGTTATTGCAGTCTGATACTTTCCAGGCTATGACACCTCCGGAATGACTAGTTATTAAACTTGAATTTTCAGGGAAAAAGTAGCTACAGTGCGCTGTAGGAGTTTCAGTAAAGTTCTGCTTCCTTCTGAGAGCCCCTGCACTCGTGTAGATTTATTACTCTTTGGTAGTAATCATTCTGGCATTTATGTTGCATAAGGAAAATTAGGTGGTTGGGGGCATTAAGGAATTCAAGTCAACGAGCGGCTCTGATAGCAAATGTGTTTTTCTTAACAAATTATGTATCAGCAAATAGTGCCCCTCTCTGCCAGGATCTGTATTTCACTTCGACATCTCAAGCATGTTATCCTAGTTTTCCTCTCTCTGGCAGCTCAACCAGAGCTGTCACATCACAAACAACTTTTTTCTTAATATACACATCTGGCGTTGGCAGTTGGACCAACTTCATAAGAGCACATGATCATCATTCATTACAAGATTAAAAAGTACCCCGTGGCATCATTGATGTTTTTTAACTTTGATCTTTTGCAGTTGTGATTCATCTCAGTTATAAAACTTCCCTTTAAAGGAACACAACCGATGACTTATTAGAACCTTCATTCTAAGTAGCGTAAACATAAAATTATGCACATCTTTACAAAATGTCATTTACTTTGTTGCCAGCTTATCATTTTAAGACATGACATCATGCTTTAGATCGTGAATTTGTAAGGCTTGTTTATAGGCAAGGCACTCTGACCTTCTGTTGGCAAGTTGACTCAAGCGAACGAATGCTGCGTGCTTTCCAGCAGCAGTGGGAGCAGCAGCAATACCATGACAGATATCACAATCATTTAGAGCCTGACTTTAAGAGTGCTGAACAGTCATGGCAAGCAGTGACTCCAGTTGGTGTTTTGGATGCTCAGCACTTCAGAAAGTCAGGTTCTTAAATGTAAGTGCCATTTAGTCGTATTAAACATATGCTTGTAGAAGCTTGCTGCCTTGCCTCTCTGTTATTATTTTTAAATATTTTAATAGAGACAATGATGTCAGGCTGCTCTGTTAGGAAAACCTGCCCATTTCTATATGAGAAAAGGTCTTCTGATTATTTTTCCTTGGAAAAGATTTATTTGTTTTTAATTATTTGTTTGAGTCTATCTAGATTACCATCCAGGGACATCTATTGTGTTGCACAGTCTTTGTGCTGGATTGAGACAGCGCATCGCACTCTTAGTGATGGAATCTAGAGACAGGGTTGTATAAGATCTTTGGGAATCATTGGGAAATCCTGCAGATATTTTTCTCCCCTCATATCCAGGCTAAAACCTCTGCCATATGCACATCTTAGCCAGCAGAGCTGCCTTCCAGCTGGGAGGGCTGAAAGTTTTCTGGAGAAGTAAGTTGTCATGAGGTCATAACTGACCTACAGATAGCAAGAGATCACTGTAAAGGAATTAGAAGAAGAAGAAGAAAAAAAGAACAAAAAAACCCCAAACCTTTACCTAAGCCCCTCTTTAATGCTTTTGCCTTACCTCATTACAAATACAGAAATAGTGATTTGCCCTTCCATAGTGGTACCTTTAGAATAGGAGACATGTCCTCCTTTCTGGCTGCTTTTGGTAGAAACCCAGTCAGGAGGGAAATCATGAGGAAGGAGGGAGGAGAAGTCTATATATTTTTATATGTTGCCTGGCTTCCAAAGACTTCAGTTCCTCTCTAATTAAAGGTAGTCTCCAAAGTCACCGACCACAATTTTCTCTATCAGCTTGAATGGAAAAGTGGTTCTGAGCTTTGAAGTGTATCGGTAGGAGAAAAACTGCTCTATTTCATCCAGCTCCTGAATATTTCTCTGCTGCTGCAGCTTGCAAGGTGCACACGTGATGAAAGGTATGAGCAAACATCGCCTTTTTGTCTGTGCACGCTGCAGAAGCCAGCGAAAGCCAGTGAGAGGTTCTGCTCAGCCTTTGTATTAACTGTTTGGCCGACCCGGCTTATAAAACACAGATAAGTGATTGAGATTTTTGAGATTCCTCGACTTAAAACCGTAACAGTTTTTTAGGAAGTTCTCCCTCTTTTCTTTCAAAGACAGAGGGTGGAGGGCTAAGTCTGGGACTAGTGGAATGTGCTTTGGAGTAGAACAGCTTTAAATCTTTCAGTATTTTTTTTTTTTAATTTTTTTTCTCTTTTTTTTCTTTTTTTTTCCCCTTTTTTTTTTTTGTTGACTGCCTGTCAGGAGCTGGGCTGGTGGCCAAGCAGGAAATGACACATCGAGAGGCATTTGTGTTGTGCAACATTTTGTGGAACTGATGCAAGGATACATTGTCTGTTTACGCATTCCTCTGCTAACAGCCTGCATGGCAGTAATTTTATTCAGGGACACATGGCATGCTACAGCAAGGAGCTAGATCCTTAACATCTCTTTATGCAGAATTATCACAGCAGTTAAAACACGCTGTGTGTCCCCTGTTTAGAATATTCTCTGGCTTGCCTTCAAAAACCACTCTACCAGCCCCCTTCCTTTCCACGAATATATTGATTTGACTGTGTTTTTTTGCACTGTGGTAAATTGGGGCAGTGCAGAGAGAGAGAGTTTGCAGAACAAGAGGAAATTTTACAGACAGGTCCTACTTTGTGCATCTACCTCAGACGGTAAATGTAGCATCGCAGTTTTTTCGAGCGATGCGTTGCACGCTGAACACGGAAGTTTGCATCTGCATGCGTTTTGGCACGGCGAGGTTTTTAATTAAAGTCAATGCTAAATACCCTGAGATACGATGAACAAGTCCTGGGTTTTCATCCAAACTGAAGTTAGAAAATCTGTGACTCGCACTGGTGTCTTTCAGAGTGAGAAATCTCTACTGAGATCGGCTGGGTTATTCTGGATTTCTCCCAGCGTAAGTGGGAGCAGAGGAAGGCAGAGTGGGCAGTCTGGTGGTTTGCAAGTTGCTCTAAATGACTTTGTAAAGCTTAATGTTTGCGTTATAATGCCCC